ATACGGGCCAGTCGTGTCCGACTCTAGGGTTGTGCGCCCATCTCACTTAAGAGGCCGGGAGCCAGCGCTGTCCGGAGACACTTCCAGGTCACGTGGCCAGCTTGACGGAGCTGCTCTGGCGAGCCAGCGCAGCACACGGAACGCCGTTTACCTTCCCGCTAGTAAGCGGTCCCTATTTATCTACTTGCACCCGGGGGTGCTTTCGAACTGCTAGGTTGGCAGGCGCTGGGACCAAGCAGCGGAAGCGCACCCCGCTGTGGGGACTCGAACCGCTGACCTTTTGATCGGCAAGCCCTAGGCGCTGAGGTTTTACCCACAGCGCCACCCGGTCCCATGCATCTTTAGGCACCAGGTAAAAACATTTCTTTTTCAACCAGTAGTGGCGGAGCTAGCTGCTCCTGCACCCAGAGCAGCGGGGCATGGCGATCCACCCATGGGGTGGGGCGCTCCGCCCAAGGGGGGGATCCGATCGCAGCACAGTGGCGTGATCCTCCCAGTGGGGGTCCGATCGCGGCGAGGCAGCGTGATCTGCCCAGGGAGGATTTTGTCACCCCCCTCTGTGCTGGCACCCGGGGCGAACCGCCCCCACCACACACCCCTTTGTACGCCCTTGCCGACCAGGCCTTTGGCTGATTAATATTCTAAAATGTGTTGGTATTGTTTTGTTTTTATTCTAACTATTTATTTGTCCTTTTATTTTTGTATTTTTATCTTTTGAACCCCCCCCCGAGATCTTTGGATGAAGGGCAGTATATAAATTTAATAAATAAAATTAAATAAAAATAAGTAGATTCTCCTTTAATCGGAAATTGAATTAGATTTCTCCCCCAACCCTAGGTGAGGGAGACCTGCTCTATCCTATAGCTACTGAAATCCCTTCCCAGGAGGCACAGGATTATACCCTAAATGCAGTTAAATAAAATCTGGTTTGATTTTGACCATATAATAGTTTATATTTTTTTTAAAAAAACCTTTTTAGTGTATTATTAGAGTTGTTCATTGTAGGAAACATGACAGTGAACACAGGCTAAAAACAACCAGTTTCACGTGCTAGAAACAGGAACTGCTAGAACATGCAGTTAGTTAGTTATTCTCAGGGAACCTGACACAGTGGCTGCTTTTGTGCCTATAACTGAGTAACTCATTATCATGGTCCAAGGAAAGCATCAGGAATAACCTGTAAAACATCTGCTGTGAGGGATGCCTACTGAGGTATAACCTTTGGAAACGAATATCTCAATTTTCTTAAGGCATGTGACTCAAGGAGCTCCATGCCTTTTTTCTCTGGGAATTCTAGAAGGTGCAGGTGATACCCATAAACCTCTGAGCAGGACAAATATTTCTTTTATGAGAAAAGGTTTGTTCCAGATAGTTACACAAATTAGTGTAATTTGATAGGGGATAGGGAAATAACCATATGAGTTGGCAAGAGGCTTCACTATTGGGGGAAAGGTGAGCAAGTGTGGGAGGTGATAGAGGTGTACAAGATTATGTCTGGTGTGCAGGAGACATTCCCCTCCGTCTCTCGCAATACTAGAACCATCCAATGAAAACAAACGCTGGAAGTCACACAGTCTTGTGGCTCAGTATGGATCATTTTAGGTCTAACTCTGTATACAGAGCATTTCTTGGCACTCTCTCAAGCAGGTCTTAGAAAGATCCAAAGCTACTTAATTTCAGCAAGGTTGTTCCATTGTGTACTTTCAGATCATTTGTCTGCGGCCATGTGCTTCCTATGTTTCCGCCTGTTACGTACATATGTTCACTCCATCAATGGCTTCTACTTGAAGGCAAACATTTGAGGCAATAACTCTGTTGTAGTCAGACCTATACTTAGTGCGCACTAATCTCTAATCCTTTTGTGGTGTGAATTGTAAATCTGTATTTATGTTTGCTCAGCAGTGGCACCTTCTGAAATCAAACATAAGAAAATAAGAAGAGCCCTCCTGAATCAAATTAAAGATCCATCTAGTCCAGAGTCCTCTGGGAAGTTCACAAGCAGGACTTATTAAAGGCAATAGGAACATAAGAAGGCAGGACATGAAGCCCACAACATACAGTGGTACCTCGGATTACAGACGCTTCAGGTTAAAGACTCCGCTAACCCAGAAATATTATCTCGGGTTAAGAACTTTTGCTTCAGGATGAGAACAGAAATCGTTGTCTAGCGGCATGGTGGCAGTGGGAGGTCCCATTAGCTAAAGTGGTACCTCAGATTAAGAACAGTTTCAGGTTAAGAACAGACTTCTGGAACAAATTAAGTTCTTAACCCGAGGTACCACTGTATACATTTTCAGAAATGGGATCTTTTCCCCCAGAGAAAAACAGAAGTAAAAATTACACTTGAAGGAGATCTCAGCCAGAAGAAACCTATACTGACCTAGTTTGCACATACCATTAAGCCATGGTTTGTTTAACAAACTACGTGTTAACTATGAGTTGTCCCACAGAGGCTGGATCTAGACACGTCAAAGAAGCGATTGAGTTAAACGCGTTGTGAACGCATACAGGGAAATCTGGTAGGGAAAGACAGGACTCCACAGTGCCATCTAGTGTTGCAGTGTTATATCACATATACAACGCATATAAAACAGTTTTACTTCACCAATCTAGCTGAGTGCAGATTTTTAAAAAATTACTTTTGCTTTGCAGCTTGGTGACCATCCAAACCATGATTAAAGAAAGGCGCTGATTTCACATGTGACACAGTTAAATCAAATGGTTGTATGCCACTAACATTGACTCAGAGTAGGCGCATATACATCAATGTACCAAAGTTTGGAATGAGTATTAATTTCAATAGGTCTGCTCTGAGTAAAATTAATTGACTAGAACCCAAGGTTTGTAAGTCAACAACAAACATTTCAGGTTTCTTGGCAGTAAACAAACCATAGTTAAGCCAGCCAGCAGAAGTCTCACATAACACTAAGTCATGGTCTATTAAACCATACTTTAACAAACCATGGCTTAGCATTATGTGTGAGCCAAAGGGTACTTACGAGGGAGAAGGGAGGGATTGGAAAGACAATGAGAGGCAGTGCGAATTCAAGGTCTTTGGGTTTCGCTTCTGGTGTGCAAATGCCTTCTTTGTTGCATTGCAAGACCTTTGTAGTAAATTGAATGATGCTGCAACCCTCTACATACTTACCTGGAAGTAAGCCCCATTAAAGTCAGTGGTGCTTATTTCTGAATAGACATGCCTAGGATTGTACTGCTATTGACTCAGCATTTTCATGCAGATGCACATCAAGGCATTTTTATTGAGCTTCTGCAATGTGGAGTTTAAAAGACAAACACAAGCTGGCATGTACCCACAGTTCACATCAAAGAAGATTAAAAAAGTTTTCTCACAGAAATTAAAATTAAACAGTACCAAATACAGTGCTGATTATGAGTAAGATATTGTATGCCAATACTTGCCCTCAAACAGAGCTGGGTCAAAACTGTTCTAAATCTAATGTTGATAACAAAGAGAAACATCACAGACAGAAAGCAAATGATAAAAGATGTTGGTTACACTGACTTTCAAACAAATGTGCTGTTACAGCTCATAACTCCATAGCTATTTGGAAGAACAGAAGATCAGTCCACTGAGAGCACAGCTGACTGCAAACCGTCTCTGAGAGAAACCAACAAGTTCTGGGGAAGGGCAGGCAATCAAAGCGGAGGGACTGTGGGACATTCTGTTCAGGTTACAAGCCGTTCTTCCCACCAAACTTGCCTTCCTGGAGGTCAACAATACGGCTACACAACAAGATCTGCAGAATGAACCCTCAGACATGCCATTCGCCCACACACTGATACCATTTCAAAGCACAGAATCACAGAGTTCAAAGGGATCTCAGAGCTCATCTAGTTCAACCCACTGCTAATACAGGAAATCCACTGCTACAATAGCCATCTATCTCCAGACTAAAAAAAACCAGGGAGTCCATCATTTTCCAAGGCAATCTGTTCCACTGTAAAATGCTCATGCCATCAGGAAGTCCTTCCTAATGTCTAGCTTAGTGGTGTCCAAACTTTTTTCAAAGAGGGCCAGATTTGATGAAGTGAAGGGCCGTGGGGGCCGACCAAAGGGCCGACCAAAGTTATTGACCTTTTTTAGGATTGAAGTTGTTGGGCTTTTTTAGGGTTAGAGTTGTTGAGCTTTTTTAAGATTTTACCCCAGGAAATAAACTGCCACAGGGGATGGATTAAACTGACAGGCGGATTGGATTAGGCCACTGAAACGGACTTTGGACATATTTGGTCTAGCTGAAATCCCCTTTCTTGTAATTTTAACCTATTGGTTCAGTCCTACCCTGAACAGGTAGCAACAGAAAACAGATATGCTGCATCACCTGCATGAGATGCTTTCAAATGTTCACTGGCGCCCACATGGGAGCAATGCGCACAACCCCACAGCCATCATTAAAGCACTAGCCACAAAACACAAATTACATGCAACATTTTAGGTTGTGAACCGCCCTGAGATCTACAGGTATATCTGTGTTTAGGTTTGCTCAGATATACAATCAATCAATCAATCAATCAAACAAACAAACAATGGCACACAGAAGTTACATGTAAGGAGAATTCCACCACACATTGGGTGCACCATGATAACATCTTTAGGCTTTGTCATCGTGCCAAGTGATAAAAGAGAGCTGCACCATACATCAAATGCAGAAATATGACAAAAATGAATGGTTAATCGGTCAGCTGCATCCACTCAGCAGTAGTGTCAAGTGAGGACATAAAAACAGCATCTGTCAAAGGAGCAACCAGCTGAGAGGGGTGGTGCTGTGTATGTGCCCTCCCACTAGCAGGGCTGCTGGGCAGACTGGGAGGGAGTGGGAGAGTGATGAAAATGAGGTGCAAAAATGAGGTGGGTCAGAAATAGGTCTAGCTCAGGGGATCCTCATGCATTTGCAAGCCACCTTTCTTTGAGAGTCTCTTAAAGCCATGCACCCCAACCCGCCCTTCTCACGACATTTACAACGAGATGCTCTGGCCTTTACCTCAACATCTGGGCTTGTTGTAATTTCTCTGCCATCAGGGGAGTAATGGGTCTCAGTGTAGTCTTTGGAAAGAAGATCCCTGCAAAGAATACAATGGGTTTGTTATTCAAGATGAAAATTAAGTTGGGCCAGAGATAATTGCATAATAAGCCTACAATTATATTTCCCCAATGGCATTGTATGTCTATTTTTAGATTCAGAGTAGGATATCAAAGGGGAGGGGAGGCACTTAAGCTTCTCGACGGTACATATTTTTAAACAAAAGGAAAGGGGATCAACAAGGTTTACAAAGCACACAAATCTTGATTCCTTTGATCAAGGGGCTGCCAACTGGGGAGGGGGCGGTCATGGGCAAATCTGCAAACTGAAGGAACAGTTGTTGACACCACACACACACACACACACACACACACACACACACCCCACAACCAAGAACATGCCACAATCTAGGCCCCACCTGCACTGTGCATTTAAAGCAGTATCATGCACCTTTAAACAGCCACGGCTTGCCACAAAGAATACCAGGAAGTATAGCTTGTTAAGGGTGTTGAGAGTTGCTAAGAAACCCTTATTGCCCCCACAGAACTACAAGTCCCAGAGTGGTTTAATATTCAATCCCTCTTCCCAGAGAACTCAGTCAGGGGCATAGGGGCCTCCTAACCACTCTCAGCTGTCTTAACAAACTACAGTGGGGGAACTGTGACTGTTTCAAGTGACACGATGCTGCTTTAAATGTATAGTGCAGGTAGGATCAATTTCACTGGGTCTGCCTACTGCCAAGGAATACCTCTGAAGGCACATAAGTGCTCACACGCAACACGGTGGAGACGAGCCTATCATGTTGTTCCCAGGCACTAACTAGTCCCAGACCTGCTTAGCCTCCGCAAAGAGAAAAGTGAATTTCCTTTCACAATGGTACCTCGGTTTTCAAACATAATCCATTCCAGAAGACCGTTCGACTTCCAAAACGTTTGAAAACTGAGGCACAAGGGGCGGTCTGCAAATTTAATTGAGAAAATTGAGAAACATTCAGCATAAGCCGTTCAACTTCAGAGGTGCATTTGAAAACGGAAGCTTTTACTTCCGGGTTTTCGGTGTTCGAAAACTGAAACATTCGACTTCTGAGATGCTCAAAACCAAGGAACCACTGCATTTCCACAAAAAGTCTGGACCTATTTGTCTACAATTTGGCAAACTTAATCCACTCTAGAGGTACTCTGGCTCCTAGAGTTAATCCATTTTGGCTTCAAGGGGAAAGAGCTGCTATTTTATTCCCTATTACAGTGGTACCTCTGGTTGCGGACAGGATCCGTTCCAGAGCTCCGGTCGGATCCTGAAGTTTCCGCAAGTGGAGGGTTCGCTTCTGTGCATGCGGTGGCAGACTGCTTCTGCGCATGCGCTCAGCACGGTAGAGCACTTCTAGGCATGCATGCACAGCGAAACACTTCCGGGGTTGCTGCTTTCGCAACCTGAAGTTTACGTTACCCGGGGGTAATGTAAGCCGAGGTGCTACTGTATAATAAATGGGAGAAGTACAGGGCTTTGTTTTACACAGGATGTGAAATGCAAATCGAGGGAGTACAAAGAGAGACTCAGAAATCAACTGGAATTTTTTAAAATGCACAAATGCAAAGCAAATCTCGGGGCCTGTGCATACTCCTAACATTTATCATTTATATGTAATAGAAGAACTGATTGCAGGTGGTTCCTCTTTAGTAGAGCAAATCAGGCTGTTACCACAGGTCATTAGTGCAGGTGGGAAATAATTTCATTTTAATGCATGCCTACTGTCCAGTACTGAAACAAGCTATTAAAAAGAAAACCCATCCCAGGCAAGGCCAGTAGCAGGGAGGAGGAGAGACAGAGAGACAGACCTGTTGAGCTGGTTAGTTATTATGCAGAAACTGGCCAAGTGGCAATTCTATTGAAGATTATCTTTATTAATATCTTGATTTATAGTTCAAGCTGAGCACTCCTGACCCTTAACAAGACTAAAACGCTATGCTACCAATGGATCAGTTTAAAAGAAAAATATCTGGAAGATTTCTTGGCAATTTCCTCTTATGCCTTGCTTGTATAATATATCAACTCGGATGCAGGGTTAACATTTTTAAAAGGCTCTTAGAAAACAATATGCAAATTGCTAGGGTTTCTATAGACAAGGCTGAAGTGTAGGTGGGTTCAAGCATGACCTGAGCCCTGGGTTCAGCTCAAAAGGATTTATTGAAGCAGCAGGAACAAGAATGACAAACAGGGGCACTCAGCCCAGTATATAGACACCTTAAGCCCCCTGCGCCGCCTGTGATAGGTCACCTTATGCTGTGGCTAGCAAATCACAACAATGGCTCTATCACAGTAGGGATTGGCTGCCTGCCAGCTACCAGCAAATACCATTGGAGCCCTTTAGAATCCTTCCTGTCTTTTGCTGTGCAGCTGAAGCTCCTGAGCTCCTGGAGGCATTGAGGGCTAGGCCTGCAATGGCATGCATGCAGCATGGGTTTGGCTTACAATGCATGCATGCATGACAAGGCCACATGTGCAGTTTTAAATCCTGGCCATGCTGAGTGAGGTAGAGGGCGTCTGTGTGTTGGAACTCAGCCAAAAGCACATTTTTATTTTTTTAAAAATTATATACCACTGTGACATAAAGATACATCACAGTGGTTTACAATTGAAAAACAAAACAATAAAATCCTAAAAAGTTAAAAACAACTGAAAAGCAAAAAGGGATTTAAAAAAAATAAGAGGCTGTCAGCTCAAGCAGACCAAAGGCCTATCTAGTCCTTTTAAAACTGTCTAAGGTGGCTGGCATCAGTACATTTTGCAGCTGTGAGTTCAATTGTTAAGCACTGTGTGAATAAGCACTTAGTCCTGAATCTTCCACCATTTGGCTCCATTGGATGGTTCTGAGCTCTGGAGTGACTCGCACAGTCTACCTTTTTATTTTATTTTTTTAAAAAAGTGGAATCCCCATGATCCATCTATATTTTAAATGCATAAAGCAAGAGGGAATCTTGGAATCTTAAGGAATAATTTGGGAAACAAAACTTGGGAACACACCACTAGTAAGAGAGTGGTGCGGAAGAAACTCCAGGTGTTTGGAAATATTTATTATGGCGTAGTTTTGTATCAGAATACTTCTTTGGGGGTATGTTTTGTTTAACTGTTTCCAGACATCACTGCAGGCTGGCCCAGTAGGTCAAATGGGGCGCTGCCCCACCAAGCTCTCACTTGCCAAACTCCTCATTTACAGCCAGTTCATGGGGTGGCCCTGACTGTCACCTTCCTCCTTTGTCACAGGGTTGCCCTTGTAGAATACAACAGGAAGGAGGATGGGAACAAACCCAGAATTAGTTGATTCTGCCAGTCATTCGCTCTGGCTCCCCCTCTTGTTAGCTGCTCTGCCTTCTGCTCTACCAGTCCCAATGGGCAAGAGCTACCACTGCCAGGAATGCATGGCCTGGGGCAGTGGGGGTGCTTACCTAACTTCCCAGCAGCTGGGTCACTTACAGGTATGTTTACCAGGAAAGAGAGAGGGAGCAGTGAGATGGGGGGAGGTGTGGTGCAAATGCACTGTTGAGCCAATCCAGTGGTCTTGGCTGGTGGGCAGGGCCGTAGCCAGGGGGTGGCGAGGGGCACAGGCGATGGGGGGAGGGCACAAAATCAGCTTAAAAATATGTCCATAAATAAAAATATTGATTATTAAAGGTAAAGGGACCCCTGACCGTTAGGTTCTGTTGCGGACGACTCTGGGGTTGTGGCGCTCATCTTGCTATATTGGCCAAGGGAGCCGGCATTTGTCTGCAGACAGCTTCCGGGTCATGTGGCCAGCATGACTAAGCTGCTTCTGGCAAACCAGAGCAGCGCACAGAAACGCCGTTTGCCTTTACGCCGGAGTGGTACCTATTTATCTACTTGCACTTTGACGTGCTTTCGAACTGCTAGGTTGGCAGGAAAATATCGATTATTAGCTCATAATAAATGGTTTTTAATAGAGGGTGAATTGAATGGGTGGAGAGGGTGTTGGAGGAGAGGCGGAAAGAAGAGCTAATTTGTCCAGGGCTAAGGGGCACAATCTGGACAGCGTTCTTTGCAAGAATTTTAGCAACCAGCAAGTGGTGACTTCCATTGGAAACTGGTCAGTGTTTCACAAAAGAAAGCACATTGTTGCATAAAATTTGCATGTGCTTTGTGTCATATGGGAACACATTCACCCCTCCATGTTGCTGCTATATGTTGTGAAAGAAAGAAAGAAAGAAAGAAAGAAAGAAAGAAAGAAAGAAAGAACAGAGACCAGAAGTGGCACTAGTTCTATGTATCTTATAGAAGCATTTCCATATCTCTTCCAATGTCTAACTTAACCCTGACTGTGACTGAGGCCTCTCCCAAACATAATAACTGTGGGGAAAGAATATCGCCACAGGAATGTGCTCCTTATAACCTCCATTATTTTCTGCCATGTTGTCACCTTGAAAATGTTAAGAAAACTGCAGTTCTAACTTAAGGTTACCCAATATATTTTTTTCAATGAATCCGGGGACACTTTTCAACTTCAATGGATTTTGTATGGGGCCTGATTTGTAAATCCAGGGACGTCTGGTAACCTTATTCTAACTTACTTGTTTCTTTCGAGATGAAGGACCACCTTCTCTCCATTCACTCTCATTTCATAGTCTGCAGCATCTTCATACTTGGCCTGCATTTGAAAAGTGTGGATGAGCAGCTGTTGATTAGAGGTGGGGGGTTTTGCGGGGGGACAGGCAAACAAAGGAAAACTGCTATAGCATCACAACAACTGCTAATAAATACTGCTGCATTAAAGACCTCGTCCCAAGTCACTCATTTGCGTCTTGAAGGCCACAGTAAGGCCTCAGATCCGGGAAGGTACAATTTCAATTACTACTAATTACCACCTCAATTGCTACTTCCCCAACCTGTAAACCTGAGGCCCATTGTGCACATTTGTACAGTCATCTTTTTTTAAAAAAATGCTTTTGTCCCTGGATTAGTGCAGTAGCGAACATGGACCAAACCCAGAGTTTCAAGCATGTGTCACAATGAGCAAAATGGCCAATATATATATATTTGAATAAACATTCACAAACTTTTTATTGATAACATTTGGATAGTTAAATTAAGGATCTGTACAGTTTTGTAACATGCAGAAAATAACATATGTTGATAAACCAGAGAGAGGAGCTGAGGGAAGTCGGGGGGGGGTAGGTTATGTTTTGGGGAAGGGGAGGGGAAAATAGGGAGGGGGAAAATTTAAGGATGATATGTTTTTTGATAAAATCTTATGTTGAAATTACTAATAAAAATTTAAATGTATATATATATATATTTGAAATATATGTTGTTTGATTTACCAGATTCGCAAGAAAGCAGTTTAAAATTCTGTGTCATGTTTGAGCCCGATGGCTACAGAGCTAGCAGCCTGAAGAATGCCTAGCAAAGGCAGGCTGCTAGCTCTGTGGCCACAAGCAGGGGTGGTGAAATGGGAAGGTGCCCCTGCCCCACCACTGGAGAGCCAAGGAGTTGCTGCCCACATGGGCATCCCGTTACCAGTGGGGTTTCCAGCAAGATCTGTCATGGCTGCTTCACCCCACCTCATGACCCTGACCAGCCAGGCAGAGGCATCAGTGCCTCTGATCTCCACACTATCTTCCCCCAACACAGGAAGCTGTGGTGTGCACTGGAGAGCAACATAAGCAGCATCTTTCCCACACAAGCACACATAGTCAAGTCTGGATGGGAATAACTATCTGTTGGAGAGGTGTTTGGAAAAAGTGTCTTCCTCCCTCCCTCCCTCCGGTACCTGCAAAGGCCAATTTTACTTCTATTCTCAATGCAGCTGTTTTGCACAAGAGCAGTCCTGCACAAAGCAGCTGTTCTAAAAATAAAAAAAAATTGTAAACATGCCTTCAGCAGCAACCAGTGGAAATGGACAATGCATCATTTCCTTTGCACTGATGGAAACAAAATGGCCAGATTGTGGTCAGGTGCTGAGAAAAAGGATGTAGGGGTGGAGATAGACGGCACCAAACATGTAGAAAACCACAAAACCACCCCCACGGTGCACTTCAGTGCATCCACCCTTGAGTAACATGTGATTTTATGTTGGACTTTGTCCCTTACCACATAATCCATAGATTGTTTAAATAAAATTTAAATGGGGGGAGGGAAGGAGGAATGCAGCCTGCCGCTTGGACAAGGATGCTATTGTGTTGCCTTGCCTCAGTTGCTTCGTTTCCCAGAAAGCAGAAGAAGCAACAAGGGGATCATCTATCTTGGACCTGGACCTCACCAACAGGGAGGAACTGATTGACAAAGTGGAAGTACTGGAGATCTTGGGAGGAAATGATCTTGTCCTTTTGAGTTTCATGACACAGAGGCAAGGGAAAGCTGAGACATGCACTCTGGACATTAAGAAGACTGATTTCAAAAAGCTTTAGGAGCTACTGGGTGAGATCCCATGGTCACAAAAACTCAAAGAGAAGGGAGTTAAAGATGGATGGGAGTTTCTTAAAGGTTAAATATGGAAGCTACAAATGCAGACAATTCCAATAAGAATGAAAAGTGGGAGGCATCTAAAGAAACTGATGTGACTGCATAAGGAGCTTCATTGGAAGTTTTCAAGCAGAGGTTGGAAGGTACATGTCTTTGGTGCTTTAGTTGAGAATTCTGCACTGCAGGGGGTTGGACTAGATGACCCTCAGGAACATTTCCAACTGAACAATTCTATGATTCAATGTGAAAGGCACAAAAAACATGTACATGTCTGATGCATCAAATGCACCATGAATTGTTGTGTGTACACAACCAAACAGGCAGTTCTTTTTTACCTTGTGGTTCTGGCTTCCTCTGACATCTCTTTTGTGCAATGCATGGATTTTTTGTGGATACACTACTTCGTAGTCCTTCACTCCAGGAAGTTCCTTCAGGGAGTTCCCTTCATTGAGGAGGAAAGAGAGAAATGTTTGCTTTATTCTGAAATTCCCTTTCTCACACATGATTTAATTGTCATTCATGTTGTGAACTGCCCTGTGATCTTCAGATGAAGGGCTGTATATCAATCAAAAATAATAAAATAATAATAATAACTTAAGTGAACAGTCCAGCATAGACCCTGTTCCCTACTGAAATGAAGCCCAGCTACATAAAACGACCTTCTCGCCATACAAATTTCTTTTGCATGGTTTGTTTGTTTCTTGAAATGGCTGATTTAACAGCCTTTGACAGGTGGTGGCTAATAATAACAAATGCACACACCCTTGCTCCCTTGCTGAAGGAAAGGGTTTGGCCATTTGAAGGAAGCCAGCAAAAAACCCACAACCCAGCAACATAACAAATGAACATAAGAAGAGCCCTGCAGGATCAGGCCCATCGAGTCCAGCATTCTGTGCTCACAGTGGCCTACCAGCTGAGCACAACAACACTATACCCAGTTGTGATTCTTAGCAACTTGTATTCAGGGGCACACTGCCTCCAACAGTGACAAACCTACAGCTAAAATTTTATATATGCTTACCTGAGAGTAAGCTGCTTTGAACACAATGGGACTTACTTACAAGGAAATATGCATAGGATCCTCCCATAAGTTTTGCAACCTGCTAGCAAGATGTAGTCTGGAGGAGACTACTTGCTGTTTGGGCCTGTCTGCTCATTTCAGCTAATCCTGCACCCAAGGTACATGCAGAAAATGTGTGAGCACACAAACACCCTTCTTTTCTGTCAGGGGGCACAGTCCATTTGGGGCTGCATGATGGCGGTGAGCAAAGGCAAACTGAGAGACTAAAGTGTTCTGGACTAACCCTGCTTCACTTCCCACAATGACTCTCTGTTTCAATTTCAGTTTCATTTATTTGGACTACTGTACAAGGGTCTTAAGCGTCAAATGCAGTACAGCGTTCTCAAAATAATCACAGCAGAGAAAACACCTACACAAATGGTGCCTTTAAAAATAAGAGTATAACAAAAATCCATGCACAATCAGAAGCAATTAAAACTACATCACAGGTGTGCATTGCGCATGCACAATGGGCCCCCACAATGTTGGGCACAACTCGGCGCCTCTGATCAACATCAAGTAATTTATAGACCACTTTGTAACATAAAGCCATACAAGCGATGTGAAAGATAAAAACAGAATAACACACAAGTGTTAAAAACAATACAATCAGGTTAGCTCAGTCAGAAGGATGAGACGCTTGATCTCAGGATCCTGGGTTCAAGCTCCACATTGGGGGAAGGATTCCTGCATTACAGGGGGGCTGGACTAGATTACCCTCATGGTCCCTTGCAACCCAACAATTCTAAGATTCTATGATTTCAGCAAACTCTAAAAACATTCAAACCATCTTTACAAACTCTGAAAGCAATAAAACAATTTCTTCACACCTCAGGGAAAGCCTTCTTAAACGTGTGTGTGTTTGGGTGTGTGTGTATTCAGTAGGGGCTGAAAAATCACGATGCTAGCTATCTAATTTCAACTGGCAATTGATTCCAGAGAGCTGGAGCTGCAACAATAAGAGCCCAGTTTTTAATACAAGCTAAGAGCACCTCTGGGACATATGATACTCTCAGCAGTACCCACCTGACAAGTGCAGCTGCTGGGCAGGGACAGATGGGGTGAAGCGGAGCACTGTGTGCATCATGCACCCCCTGTTGCACTCCCTTAAGTATCCCACTGCATTCAGTATGATGGAGCGTGCTCCACATTGCTAGCATTTGTGTAACATTCCCTTGCAACCTCTTTGCTTCAGGCAGCTTACTTTTCAGCAAGGTTGTGGCCTTCTGCTCCTTCAGGCCATGTTCTCGGGCCAGCATCTTCTCCTCTTCTCCCTCCCCCTTGTTTCATTTACCATTCAGCCAGTGGAAGAGTTTTGTGGAAGCTACCTCCCTACTTCATGTCTTTCAGTTGATCTTGACAGTATTACGCTACTGTTGTTGCTGTTTGAAAAGGACAATCTACAGCAACGGGAAGCCAGTGCAAGGCAACTTGGATGTGATAACCTTTTTACGCATACACATATCACAACAATCTCAACCTAGGAAGGAAGGACATCATTTCACAAGTGTCACTCCAGGATGAAAGGGCAACATTTCACAAGTGCAAAATAAAACATTGTGTTCCAGTAAACAAAGTGGTTATGGTTAGAACACAAAGCCCCCTTTAATGTTTTATCTTTTGTCAATTTGGAAATCTAGACTATAGAATATTCCTAGCACTGAGACACAGAAGAGTCAAAATGTCTCAAAAAGCAAAGAAGTCTAAATCCCATTAGTACTGAAGATGATGATGGTGATCCATATTCAACAAGTATCATCTTTGAAAAGAATTTGAACACTTAGTGGGTGGGAAAAGTAGCAACAAAAGTTTTGATCAGGGCTTTTTTTAGATCATGTGACATCTCCTCCCCTATTTTACTAGATCCATCAGCTTGTAATTTATTTTCAAATCCAACAGAAAGTGCTACTTTAGAGTTGGAGAACTGCTTCCAGGTAGAAACAGTTGCCTACCTGTTAATCACCAGATGGTTTGCTCTTAGGACCAATTAGCATATGATTGTTGACAGCAAGCTCTCCTAATTGCATTGAAAAGTTCCTGATGGGCACTCCCTGATCACAGAGGGGATTACCTTCAGCAAGCCACACTTGCATAGGAACAACCAGAAGTTCACTTCAAGCTCTTGATTGTTTTCCTGCAGCCATATCCTTACCTGCCCGACCCCACATATGGTGTCAGTTGTGTGGGGCAGGTGGGGATGGTTTGGTGAAAATGACATTGCAAGCCAAATTAGGTCCTGTAACAGGTCTAATTTGGCCCATGGGCCAGAATTCCAATATTACATTGAAAGCCTGAACAGCTTGAGATCACTATACATGAAGGACCACTACACATTGCTTTGCATGCTCAATCAGTCAATACATTGGACAAAACCTTCTCCATTGTGGCATCCATGTAATGGAATTCTTGTCCACTTAACTCACAGCAGCTGCATGGACTGTCTGAAGGAGCGTCTCCACCCCCATCGTTCTACCCGGACACTGAGGTCCAGCACCGAGGGCCTTCTGGCGGTTCCCTCACTGCGAAAAGCCAAGTTACAGGGAATCAGGCAGAGGGCCTTCTCAGTAGTGGCACCTTCCCTGTGGAACACCCTCGCACCAGATGTCAAAGAGAACAACAACTACCAGGCTTTTAGAAGACATCTGAAGGCAGCCCTGTTTCGGGAAGCTTTTAATGTTTGATGTATTATAGTATTTTAATATTCTTTTGGAAGCCGCCCAGAGTGGCTGGGCGGGGTATAAATAATAAATTATTATTATTATTATTATTATTATTATTATTATTATTATTATCACCTTTCATTCTTCCCTTTGCAGCATTAAAAATACTTCTGAACATTCTGTGACATTCACAGCATGAATGCATACCAGCCTCCTCCATCCTGGCATCCTCCAGATGCTCCTGGACTACGACTCCCATCATCCCTGACCATTGGTGATACTGGTGGTGACTGATGGGAGTTGGTGTCCAAAAACACCTGGAGAATACCTGGTTTGGGAGGGCTAGTATACACACTCATATGCAAACATTTCAAAATTAGCACACTGCTTGGGAAGGAGGGTCTACATAGGGACTAGTCACACGCCACTCCACTTTTAATTACTATTTGTTGCATAGTTGTTGCTGCATTTGCCTATCTCTGTGTGTGCACTTGTGTGCTAGGATAGTGGGAGAGAATTTTTCATTTATGTACTTTGGTGTTCATTTATATTCAGAATATATATATATAAACCTCTTAATTAATCTTATTCTGATTCTTTTTCTGTTCTTTATGTGTTATTTTGTTATTTGGCTGCTTAAAAAATTTCAATAAATATTTTATAAAAAAATATATATATAAACCTCTTAATTAGAAACAAAAACCTTCAAGTGGTGTACATAAAACAGTTATAAATAATATGCCGATAAAATCAGAAAATATTAAACCCTAATATACTAACTAAAGTACATATCTGAAAAACCTTGCTGAAAAAGTTTTGAATAGGTGTCTATAATAGTATAAAGAGGACACATGCATAATGTAAATAGGCAGAGTTCCAACGTGTGCTGGTGCCACACGAAAGGATGAAACCCCAGCAAATATTATATGGCACTTGTAAAAATGCAAGTTTTGCCTTTCCAGCCATAAAGGCCTTGGAGGTGGTGTGATGGATTCCTATATATAACCACCATGGGTTATCTTTTGGGTTTTGTGTGAGGGTGAACTTAGATCCTTGGAGACTCAGGGAGAAGTTGTCCAAATAAGAAAAGATTTATAAAAGTTGATAAAACAAAGGTGGTGTCAGTTGATAAAGGTCTTTCAGGGAACAGTTAACTTGTTAATAATTATGCTAAATCTTGTGGATATTACAGGCTTCTAAACAAAGTAGTAAACACACAGCTTCTTTTAAACTTCAGTTGTTTATTTTAAGTTATTACTCTTTAGTTAAATATATTATAGGTTTCTAGAATACATGGTAAATGCGCAACTTATTTCCAGTGATTTCACTTCAGTTCTTTAAACTTAATTGCTCTCTCTTAATCCACCTCCCCATCTGAATCTCAGAAATGGCTCCTTTTATTTTCCCTCCCAAAGCACTGGCTCCACCCCCTCTTGGTAGCCAATCAGAGAGAGGCTCCAGCCCTCTGGTGGAATTCCGAGGCCCTGCATCACCAGACTCAGCTGTCCATCACAGCTGATTGGCTCCACCCCTCTTGGTAGCCAATCAGAGAGAGGCTCCAGCCCTCTGGTGGAATTCCGAGGCACTGCATCACCAGACTCAGCTGTCCATCACAGCTGATTGGCTCCACCCCTCTTGGTAGCCAATCAGAGAGAGGCTCCAGCCCTCTGGTGGAATTCCGAGGCACTGCATCACCAGACTCAGCTGTCCATCACAGCTGAT